ATCGGATACCGAGTAACAGACAACGACTCCAAGGACCTCCGTCCGTCACTGAGCAATAAACCTATGACCAGAACCCGGGCTACTCGAAAACTTTGGATCCCAAACCCAATCCAAGGGGAATCATTCCCCGTGAACCTGACCTGACCTGAACTGATCTGACCTTCAGAATAACGTTAACCTGCTCAGCAGGGAGTTAGAAGCATGTAACGTTTGTAATGATAGTAGCAGTACGCACGGAATTCGGGACACCAACCACGCAATATGAATTACAGGACACGAATCGATAATCAGCTATCACGGACTGGATCGCAGAAGCACTGGACCACAATGGCACGAATTCGCAATGTCCCACGAGAACGAGACGCGAGGAAAAGGCCACAGGACAGGCAGTAAGTATTTACTGAAAGAAATGAAGGTGATTAAATAATATGTACAAAGGGAGATTATTGGCTATCTGGGCTTCCACCAATTGGATTGCAGCACTGCTTGTACAATATTGCTGCTGTCTGCATTGTCTAGGATTGGCTGGCACCATCCACCAATGAAGTGAATTCAGAAGCCATGCACGTGCCATTGACGTCAGCATTCGAACTTCATTGATCGCCAATGTCCTGAAACTGTAACGTGCCGCTCCAGGGTAGGCACCATTGTGTAGGCTGGGATCACCACTAAGCCCTTTCTGTTAGGAGGAGGAGAAACTGCAACAGAACAGTGCTCACTCTCAACAGCGAGGAGCTGATGCTCAGAAAAGCGAAAACTCGAAGAGAAATGGATCGAAGGAGGGCGGTGGATATCCTGCGGCTGGTAGTTATAAATCCCGAACTTCCCTCAAAAGAGTGCACAGGGTGGGAGTTTGGAATAACCCTGGGCCGGATAAGAAAATTTCAGCAAGACAGATTCTCTTGGAATTCAACAATTCGGGTATTTGGAATCGCCCCTCAGGAGGGCCGGTTGGATAGCGGCTCGCACGCAGGGACGATTTAGGATAGTCTCTAACCAACCAAGGCAGCTCCTCGGGTCCCATAATCAAGCGAAGCCCCAGCAGCAGATGCCTGCAAAAACGCAGGTAGCGGATCTTTGTAGCTCTGACCCTGTGGCCAATAAATCGGTCGTCATAGTAGAGGACATATTGGAAGAAGAAGAATGGCAGAGTTTCCTTCAATCTTCAGGAGTAAGTGACAAGGTAGGTCGGCACGGGGACACTACCTGTGCAACTAGCACGCCCCTGAAGAGGGCATCAGAGTCCAGGGGACAGGATTGTACAATAAGATGTTTAACTCCACGCAAGGAGGTTGATGTAGAGGCTCAAAAAACGTGAGTTCTCCTCGGGTTCTCCGACCGAGGAGAAATTTGAAATAGAAAATCAACAGAAGAGGATGACACTTCTGTACACAAATACTTGCATTGTCAGAAACAAGTGGGCCGAGGTTCTGATGGCAGCGAAAACCCATAAGTCTACCGCTGTAGGCATTACAGAAATCTGTCTCTCAGAGAGTGGTCCTAACCCTAGTACGGTTCAGGATAACTTTGTTACCTACAGAACAGATAGGGGTGGCTCTCTACAAGGAGGAGTAACCCTGCTTCTAAGACCCCATTTGTGCTCAGTAGAATCGAATACTAAGGTTTCTACTCTCAATGTGCTGCTAGTTGCAGTGGATCTTATTACAAATAGCAGAAAAATGTCCATCGCCTGCGTTTATAGGGGTCCTGGTGCCACAAAATCGGAAGACCAACAGACTATCCAGACACTGGACAACCTAGCTCGAAATTCGACCAGACTGGATGTTACGGGTGACTTCAATCTTAGGCATGTTGACTGGGAGCTCGGGAGGTGTCCTCGAGGTTCAGACGAAAGTTACCTCGAAAGGATTCACTCCCGTGCCCTTTATCAGCACGTGAATGAGAAAAACAGGTATCGGAAAATTCAACAGACGTCGCTGTTGGACCTCATCATGACAGCGCAGGAGGAAGAAGGACAAAGTCTAGAATATCTCCCTCCTATCGGTAAAAGTGATCATCATATCATCAAGATGGCACTTCAGTTGAAAGTACCCAGACCCCGTGAAGGGATGTATAGGAACTTTGGAAGGATTGACATGTAACTACTCCGANTCAGCTGAGTTGGCACAGTTCGGAGCAGCATGCTGACGTAGAGGAAAGCTGGAGTATGGTCAGAAACAACCTGATGAACCTCCAAGATGAGTCTGCTCCTTTAACCTACAGAGTTTCAAGGAAGAAGCTACCATGGTGGCACGTCGCTGCAGATAGGGCGATTAAACGTAGAAATCAAAGCTGGAAAGCCTCTCGAGCTTCGGTTTCCCAGATGGCTTGGAGGCAGTACACGAGACATCGTAACGAAGCAGTTTCGCTCATTAGAAAGGGTTAAAGGGACTTTGAGTTGAAGCTAGCCAGCCGAGCCAAAAGAGAGCCGGAACGCTACTACAGCTACACTCATGCCACGGGTCCCAATAAAAGGATGATGGGACCTCTACAATTGGAAGGTAGGACCGTTACCGATGACCAGGAAAAAGTAGACACCTTTTGCACATACTTCAGTAATGTGCATAGAGTAGATCGCGACGACCTGGCACTACCAGATCTTGACCCCCTCCCCCCGTTCCATTAGAGGAAATAGAGAATACTTATGTGTCAACAGAAGTGGTTCATCGAATATTAGCGGAGCCGAACGTAAGTAAATCGCCAGGGCCCGATGGAATCCACCCGGCAATCGTCAAGCCGATCGCGGACATAGTAGCGGGATCGCTAAGGGATTTGTACCAAGCAAGTTTAGACCAGGGCAAGCTACCGAGGAATTGGAAAACAGCTGCTGTTGTTGCCATTCACAAGGGAGGAGCACAATCCCAGATTAAGAATCTCAGGCCGGAGTATATTGTGCAAGTGCCTAGAACGGATAGTGAGGACACACATTGCACAGCGTTTACTCCTTAACTCACTGCTTACTCACCAACAGCACGGGTTTACCAAGGGTAGATTATGCCTATCTAATTTACTGTTTTGTTTAGATGAATTAACCTCGAGGTTAGATGAGGGCAAAACTGTGGAAGTCTGTTATTTAGACTTCTGCAAAGATTTTGATTCCTTCAATCTCAGGTTGTTGTTAGCTAAGCTCCAACACAAGGGGATAGGGAAGCAGATACATAACTGGATCGGGGAATTCCTGACCGTTCTTACGTTTTACGTGAGGATTGGAGACAAAGTATCGGCCAAAGCCATACCCACTAGTGGAGTACCACAGGGCTCAGTGCTTGGTCCCTTACTGTTCCTCATTCTTATAGACGACTTGGCTGCCATTCTATGTTCGCCATGCCTCATCTTTGCAGATGTCAAGATCGTGAGATCAGTCAGTCGGCAGCATTTGCAGGATGACCTGCGTACAGCAGCGGAATGGGCAACAGTATGGGACCTCCCACTGAATTCAGAGAAAAGCAATTTACTTTCCCGTGCTGCTGAACAGTTGTCAATCCATTTAGGTGGAGTGGATTTTACTGCAGGGATTGTAAGAACCAGCAGAAACTAAGAATATTGGTGGCGGCAGATTTCCGTTGGGGGAACCAGTGTGTACTGGCTGCAGTGAAGGCGAGGAGAGAGCTGTTCAGACTCAAGTCGGTACTATCGTGTAGGAAACCCGACATATTCCTACCTCTGTAAAAAGCCATAGTTAGGTCGCACTTGGAGTACTGCGTGCAGGCCTTGGCACCCTTATTCAGAAAGGATGCAGCCCGTTTAGAGAAAGTTCAAAGACTAGCTACCCGAATGATTGAAGATCGAAGGGGTAAGTCATACCAAAACAGGCTAAAATACTTCGGACTCTTCTCGCTAGAAAGGAGGAGATAAAGGGGAGACTTATTGGAAACCTTTAAGACTGTAAAAGGGCTCTCGGGAGTAAGGAAAGAGAGCATGTTCCAGGAGGCTATCCACCAAGGAACTAGAAGGAATGGGTACAAANACTGGTTGTTAGATCCAGATTCTTCAGCCACAGAGCAGTGAACAGTTGGAACCGGTTGCCAAAGGAATTAGTAGATTTAGGAAGCATGACTGCATTCAAGATCGCCCTGGATGAGCGATGGTTAGAGCTCTTTCCAGAGTAAAATCTTTCTTGTACTATTAGGCAAGTTCTCATCTGTCGCACATTATACAACCAAACATGAGGGAATATCAAGTGGTGTCCCACAGGGATTGGTGTTGGGTCCGCTATTATTTTTTACCTTAATTAACGACCTTGCGAAGGATCTCCAAAGTCCTTGCTTTATGTTCGCCGATGATATGAAGTTAGCTGGAGAAGGACTGGAACAGGATCTAGATACAGCTCGAAGATGGTCGGATAAGTGGGATCTGCCACTGAATCTAGGTAAGTGTCAGCTCTTGACCACGAGAGCCAATGATGATACGAGAGGTGTGATGCATCTGCAGCATGTCTTTGAGGTAAAAGATCTAGGGGTAATGAGCCCGAACGACTTCAGGCCATCCCCTGTAGTGCAAGCGTGCGGCTAATAAAGCTCGACACGAACATTTCAGGTTGTGCGCTGTGGTAAGTTGCAGAAGATCAGAGGTTTTTGTACCGTTGTAAAAAACTAAAGTGCGTCCTCATTTAGAATATTGCGTACAGGCATGGGCGCCTTATTTTAAACAGGACGAGTATGAGAAAGTACAGCGCTTAGCAACTAGAATGGTAGCAGGCCAGAAAGATAAGGGATACCTGCGTCCACATTTAAAATATTACGTACAGGCATGGGCGCCTTATTTTAAACAGGACGAACGCTGTCTTGAGAAAGTACAGCGCTTAACAACAAGAATAGTAGCAGGCCAGAAAGATAAGGGATACCTCCAACGACTGAGGGACCTGGATCTGTTCTCCCTGGCCCGCAGACGCATGCGGAGCGACCTTATAGAGACATTTAAGATTGTCAAAAGCCTTTCGGGTCTAAAGTTCGAAAACGTATTCTCATTTGTTCCTTCCAGGGGCACGAGGGGCCATCAACTGAGATTGGAAAGAAGTCATCGTAGACTAAATTTGCGAGCTAGGTTCTTTACAAACAGAGTTATACCACTGTGGAATAAAATACCTGTAGCAGTGCTTAACTGTAATAATATCGAATCTTTCAAGAGACTGCTAGATGAATTCTGGGCAGTGGTATTTCCCGAAGTTGAGTTTTGAAAGTTAATCGTTAGGCTTTACTTTCCGAAACGCTGAAAGGGATCTGATACTGCACACTTACATTCTGCCTTTCAGAAACTACTATTTACTAGAAGTGGTGGAAGCCAACGAAACCGCTGACAACACAAGGAACTGGAAGCGCGATTGGCAAGAGCCACAATTCGTCCTGTGAGAAATGAACTGAAATATGGAACGCCTTCATGACCCATGTTCCACGCTAGTAGGACGAATGACAGTGGTTACAGCCAATCTTAAGGACAGACCGGATGATGTTGTGCCTACTCAGTTGGAGTGCCTACTCAGTTGGTAAGGAATTGTGGGTTACGGTGGCTCGAAGGGCCAGTGCTCACGTCAGTCCTTCTGCGGCGCCTCAGCGACTGAGGACCAAGAGTATGCCAGTGACAAAAAACGAAGAGGGCTCTCGGGCAGTTTGCCCGAGTGTACACTAGACTCTAGTGACACCAAGGCTGGAAGGGGGCTTGGGCTGGGGGTTATCAGCATTCTACACGAACGCTTGCAGCCTAGTTAACAAGAGGAGAGAATTAAGGGCTGTAACCGTAGGATCAGACTATATTGAGATTGCCGAGATATGGTTACACGACACTATCACAACGGAGAGCCTGCAACTCACCGGGTACTGCGCGTGCAGGTCGGACAGGGAAGATGGTAGGGGCGGAGGTGGCATATTGCTCCTTGTTTCGGACACCCTAGATCAGGCCGAGGGCGATCATATGTCCACGCCGAATATCCAGGCGTGCTCATGCACAACATAATCCCCGAACTGCATTGTGACGGTAGTAGGTGCCTACAGAGCACCACTCTCAGATGAGGAGGAGGATGGCCAACTGTGCGACTATCTGGCCAGGGTAAGCAACCATGCGGGGCGGTTGGTCATCATGGGTGACTTCAACTCTCTGGGGGTAGACTGGAAAAGCCTGTGGGCCCCTCGCTCCGGTCTTGGTAGTAAACCAGTAGACTTGATGACAATGCTACCACTGGTGCAGCACGTCAATCAACACACTAGATGGCGGAAGGGGCAAAGGCCTAGCATATTGACCTAGCTCTGTCCAAGATGCCGGATGCAGGATGTAGAACAGCTGGGGGTTTCTGCTACCCTAGGGCGTAATGATCATGAAATAATTAAGTTCCACATCAAGGGAAACCCTCCCCCTTTCCCACATAAGTTCGGGAGGGACTATAGGAAGCTGGATGTCCTGGCGCTCAGGCAAGCAGCAGAGGCAATCCAATGGACAACAGATGGGCCTTACACCGTGGATCAGGAGTGGCAGTTATTCAAAGACAGCATCACCCGGCTCACGGACGTTTTAGCTCCCCTAAAACGGTTCAGAAGA